GCTTGTGTGATGTATGCAGTTCTGGTCTGGTGGGTGGGCCCAGGTTGTATTAATCCACCAGATGCTCTTCTAAGTCAATGAGAGAAAAAAGAACAACAGATACGGCTCTGTAACTCAGTGTCTCTGTTTTCCTTGCAACTTTACAGCTGCGGCTCTATAGCTCAGTGTCTCTGTTTTCCTTGCAACTTTCACTTCCTTTTGTTCATTTCCCGTCAGTTTTGAGGACAGAGGGTTTGATAAATCCCCATTTACACTGTCACCTTTCTCGCTAATGCAGGTTTTGCTTCTGTATTTTGCATTCTTACTTTTCCTGAAATCCTTTATTAGCCCACAGATCTGTCATGTAATCCTATTGTCTTTTCATCTTATCTTAGCCTCTCTGTGGCTTGCTTTCCTTGTTCCACAAAGGTACTGGGTTTCTTTGCTTTCTTATTGAGGCTGCCTAACAGTTTTCTAAAGTAGTCTTTGGGTTCCTGTAGTAGATCGTTTTTAGAGGTCTTTTTTTCCCCATTTTCATGATAGTTTCTGTGGCTTTTTTCATTGTCTTCACTTTTGTATTTACTCATAACATATCTTTTCCTCTGAACATTACATTTTTGCACTGGTGATAGGAGATGGCAAGGGAGAGAGAGACCCTGTGTACTTAGAGCAGGTCTTATTCCAAAAAAAGGGAGAGGAAGTGATGTGGATTTCTACATTAAATAAACGAAGCTGTCATTGCATTAGTTCCATGTCATAGAGTCCTAATGTATGTCAGAGTGCTCTGTAAGGTGTCCAGTGATGCTTTGGAAGTGGATTACCAGGCCTTTCTTCTAAAACACTTGTGTTGTTGTTTTTGTTGAGTGCCATTGAGTCGGTTCCAATCTATAGTGACGTTGTATAGAGTTTCTGAGGAACGGCTGATGAGGTTGAACTGCCAAACTTGAGATTCAAAGAACTTTGCAGGCTAGTACGTTAAACCACAGTGCCACACCAGGACTCCAAAACACCACTGGGTAGACTCAAACTGATAAGCTTTGGATTACTTTTCAAGGATGCTCACTGTTTGTACCACCGCTCGACTACTAAACAAAAGGTTGTGGTTTGAGTCCACCTAGAGTTACCTTGTTCTTTCACCATACTTATTCAACCTGTATGCTGAGCAAATAATACAAGAAGCTGGGTTCTATGAAGAAAAATGTGGCGTCAGGATTGGAGGAAGACTCATTAACAACCTGCGATATGCAGATGATACAACCTTGATTGCTGAAAGTGAAGAGGACTTGAAACATTTACTGATGAAGATCAAAAAGCACAGCCTTCGATATGGATTACATCTCAATGTCAAGAAAACAAAAATCCTCACCACTGGACCAATAAACAACATTCCTATCAATGGAGAAAAGATTGAAGTTGTCAAGGACTTCATTCTCCTTGGATCAACTATCAACATTCATGGAAGCAGCAGTCAAGAGATCAGACGACGTATTGCATTGGGCAAATCTGCTGCACAGGAACTTTTTAAAGTACTGAAGAGCAGAGATGTCAGCTTGAGGACTAAGGTGCACCTGGCCCAAGCCATGGTATTTTCAATAACCTCATATGAATGCAAAAGCTGGACAGTGAATAAGGAAGATCGTAGAAGAATTGATGCCTTTGGGTTGTAGTGATGGAGGAGAATACTGAAAGTGCCATGGACTGCCAAAAAAACCAATAGATCTGTTTTGGAAGAAGTGCAGCCAGAGTGCTCCTTGGAGGCCAAGATGGCTAAGCTTTGTCTCTCGTACTTTGGACATATTGTCCGGAGGGAACAGTCGCTGGAGAAGGACGTCATGCTGGGTAAGGTGGAGGGTCAAAGAAAAAGAGGAAGACCCCTAATGAGATGGATTGGCCAGGTGACATAATTGATGTCGTCAAAGTGTGGCAGCGGTAGTGAGGCTGGCCCAGGATCGGACATTGTTTCGTTGTGCTGTGCATGGGGTCACTATGAGTCGGTTCTGACTTGATGGCACCTGACAACAACAACACAAGAGTTACCTTGAAAGAAAGTCTTGTTGATCTATTTCCAAACAATTCAGCCATTGAAAACCTTATGGAACAGTTGCATTCTGGGTCAGAATAAACTTGATTGCAACTTGTTCTCCTTGTTGGAGCACAGTTTTCTGAACTTGAGGTTAGACAGTGTGGAAGGAACATATGGTACTGAGTTAATTGTAAGAAGGTGAGCTTTAAACTTTTTGTTTTTTTTTCTTTCAAACTGTAACAAGAGTGTAATAAGCATAGTTCTATTTGCATTTTTAAATCCTTTTCCATTTGTTCCAGCTGCTGGTGATATTTTGCTCATCATCCCTTGTTTTAAATTCTGTTGTAAATGTCACCTTTCCCAGTGTTTTTTATAAGCATTGAAGTTAGTTTGTAAGACACTGTTTGAAGCTCCCATAGATGGACCCACCTTAAACAGGATGTGAAGCAGTCAAGGTAATGTGGTCAGCCGGGGGCAGGTCAAATCCTTCCTGTAGCCTTCCTTTCTCTGGGGGAAACTCTTCTATCTGGTAGACTACCTGCTTCTCATATCTTGTCAGGCATTATGTGATTTAGCAAGTGGTGGCTTTGTTAGAAGTTCATTTCTGTTCCAAAGAGTTTTAGCCTGAAATAGAGTTGTGTTAGCAAGGGCTCCATTCATAGTTTCATACTCATTGGGCCTTTGAAGAATAAAAAAATATATATATATATTTGTTGTTGTTGTTAGGTGCCATTGAGTCAGTACTTACTCATAGCGACCCTATGCACAACAGAATGAAACACTGCCTGGTCCTGGGCCAACCTCCCAATTGTTGCCACGCTTAAGCCCATCGATGCTGCCACTTTGCCAATCCATCTCGCTGGGGGTCTTCCTCTTTTTCTCTGACCCTCCACCTTACCAAACATATGCTTCTTCAACCACTGGAGTTCATAGTCAGGACACATATATAGGTTTCTCATTTTTGGAACAAGCACTCAGAAACCTTTACCTTATGTGTAAAGTTAATATTTGTATGTATATGTATATATATTATACATATTAACTCTCTCTTTTTGAAGAGTTCACCCAAGGCTACTTCCTTCAGCATTGCTGGAGAGGACTCCCCGTTTTTGTGCACCTCCATCATGGTGGGATTTATCTCTCCAGGAAACCAAAGTGTCAATGTTTGAGAGGAAGAGTGACCAGGCTGAAAGTTTTAACAAGGTGGTGTACTGGCAAAGCTGGAAGTTCACCTGTCCATGGCACCATCGTGTCCCCAGGCTTCACTAACATGAACTTCTACCTTCTTTTGGAATGACTGAAGCCTCCCCTCCATGAGTTTAAGTTTTACATGAGTAGCCACTTCTTTAAGCTTGTCATTAGAAACTCTTTATGCCACATTTAAGGCACATTCAATAGGCCATGGATCAGTAGTAGAATGTTGTCTCCTATGTGGGAGACCTGGGTTCAATGCCAGTGTACCTCACTTACAACCGTTGTTCCTCTCCCACAAGAGTCGCACACTGGACACATGAGAGAGGCTGGTGATCTGCTGCTAAAAACCAGCCAACGAAAATCTTGTAAAACACAATGGTCTGATCCACAGCTGACTGTGGAAATGGATAACGTTGTGTTCCATTGTGCATGGGGCTACCATTAGATTGGGTCTGACTTGACACACAGGTCATGATAGATGAAGTTCAGCTGGCAATCAATGAAGGATTTGCCAGTGCTTAACTGTTTTGCGTGATCTTCCTATAGCCAAACTGTACTTTTTTGATAATACTCAAACCTCAATAAATATTTTATCAAGACAATTGCTGCTTTGCTGATTTAATTAATGCCAATGCTATTATTAAGGCACACTGGTAGCATAGTGGTCTAGTCTCAAAGCCCACAGTCTGAAACTACCAGTTGCTCCTTGGGAGAAAGATGAGGCATTCTGCTCCTGTAAAGATTTACAACTTTGGAAACCCTATACTGGGTCACTATGAGTCGGAACTGACTCCACGGCACATAGCAACCAACAAAAAGTGCTCTTACTGCATTTAATTGACTACATGGAACCCTACTTTTTATCTGATATAGTCACGTGTTTATAAATGCAGAGCACATAAACTAGTATCTGTCAGTCAGTTGAAAACATTTCTGAGACATCTTTATGCATGGTGTTGTGGAGTGGAAACATGATAGCCTCTGGTAAAGGAAACACTCAGGATCTACATACATAGGCAATTTGGACTGCATTCTTAACTTGTTGGATCCTCAGTTTCTTCATCTTTAAAATGGGAATGATTGGTGTTATGTTTAAGTGAGATTTCATAGAATGCCTGAAACAGTATCAAGAGTCTCAATAAAAATCAAATTCCGTATCCACCTTATTGTTGTTAATTGCGCTCTAGATGGCTCCAACTCATGATGACCTATGTACAACAGAACTAGATGTTTCTGGGTCCTGTGCCACCTTCAAGGTGACTGATAAGTTTGGTCACCAGTGAGTGTTGTGAGTGTCTTCCCATCTAGGGCCCTTATTTTCCATCATAGTGGACACTATGATGTTGTGGTTCCTAAGATTTTCAGTGGCTCAGTTTTGAAAGTATACCACTTGTCTGTTTGTCATATTGTGGTGACATCCATGGTGCTGTGATGCTGAAAGCTATGTCATTAGTATTTGAAATACCAGCAGGGTCACCCATAGTAGACAGGTTTCTGTGTAGCTTCCAGACTAAGACAGACTAGGCAAAAGGAGAGGCGGACTAATTCTGAAGGGTTAGCCACTGAAAACCTTATGAATAGCAGAGAACATTGTCAGATATAGTGCGAAAATATGAAAACTTTATGAATAGCAGTGGAATGTTGTCAGATATAGGGCCAGAAGATGAAAACTGTAATGAATAGCCACAGAATATTGTCAGATATAGTGCCAGAAGTTGAAAACAATGAATAGCAGTGGAACATTGTCAGATATGGTGCCAGAAGATGAAACATTATGCATAGCAGCAGAATGTGGTCAGATACCATGCCGGAAGGTGAAAACCCATGAATAGCAGTGAAACATTGTCAGATATTGTGCCGTAAGTTGAAAAGCCATGAACAGTGGCAGAACATGGTACACAGTGGCATTAGCCATGGACTAATGTAGCACAATTGTGAGGATGGCACACGATCGGGCTGTGTTTCCTTCTCTTGTGCTATGGAGTCTTTCTATGTAATCATAGGGTCACTATGCGTCAGAATTGATTTAACAGCACCTAAAAATAACAATAACAATTTTTGTAAGTAGATCATCAGGCCTGTTTTTCTTAGTCTGTATTAGTCCGGAAGTTTTGTTGAAACTCATCCACCATGGGTGACTCTGATGGTATTTGAAATACCAGTAGTATAGCTTCCAGCAGCATGGCGACAGATAAGTCACCTCAGTGCAACAAACTAAGAGACAGGTGATGGATATCCACCGTACCTAGGATTGATCAAGCGCCTACCACAAAGGGTGGGTTACACAACAAGCACAGGAAAGCACAGGCCCACTTGGGCTTACTTACCAATCTGTGGTGAGCAATTTCACATTGTTTCCCCATATCAACCATTCTGCTTCTAGGTCTGGCTGGCACCTGTCTTTCTCCCCACCCCAAAGCACCTTCTTACAGAATCAGAGCCTCTTTTCAAATGTACAATCTCTGACGGGGGCAACCCACATGAAATTGTTCACTACAGATTACTAAGCAAGCACAAGTAAGCCTGTGATTATCTGGTTTATTGGGTAGTCTACCCCTGCCTACCACTTTCAAGGCATTGTGTTATGTGAAGCGACAATGTGGGTAATTCACCTGCTTTATTTCTCTCCCTGTTTCTGTTGGTCTCCATTTCATTAGTATCCCCATTGGGATGCAACTTCCAGGAAGGAAGGCAGGAAGGACTTATAACTGCTCATCCTGATTCTGTCTTTTGTGTCTGCAATACTCCCTAGAACGTAATAGATGCCTACTACAAGATTCAGGCATGGCATTCAAGAGAGGCCAGTAAAGAAGAATGAGAGTTGCATAACTGAAGGAGTTTGTTGATTTTTCCTATAAGAAATACCATGATAAAGCTGAGATGACTTATACTTTGGCCTCAAATGGACAGTGATTGTAATCCTGACTCTGACCTTTATACTCTGTGTGGCCTTGAGGAAGTTGCTTACCCCCTCTGACCCTCAGATGACGACTTTGTGAAACTATGCATTGCTAAATCCTCACAGGTTTGCTCAAAAGGCAAAGTAGTGTTTGTAACACAGAGGGCTGGTTTTCCCTAGTATGGAACTTGGGAATGCTTTAGGTCAGGGGTGGGTAACATCTGGCTTTATATGACCTTATATGGCCCATGAAATCATTTGATCTGATCCTGCCAAGGCAACCACAGTTCCAGCTATCACTTTGTTGTTGTTGTTCAATGCCATCAAGTCGGTACCAACTCATAGTGACCCTATGTACAATAGAACAAAACACTGCCTGGTCCTGGGCAACCTCACAATTGTTGTCATGCTTGAGCCCATTGATGCTGCCACCTTGCCAGCCATCTCGCTGGGGGTCTTCCTCTTTGTCTCTGACCCTCCACCTTACCAAACTTGATATCCTTCTCTAGCAACTGGTCCCTCCTGACAATATGTCCAAAGTATGAGAGATGAAGTTTGGCCATCTTGGCCTCCAAGGAGCACTCTGGCTGTACTTCTTCCAACACAGATCTGTTGGTTCTTTTGGCAGCCCATGGCACTTTCAGTGTTCTCCTCCAACACCACAACTCAAATGCATCAGTTCTTCTTTGGTCTTCCTTACTGTCCAGCTTTCACATGCATATGAGGTTTTTGAGAATACAATGGCTTGGGTCAGGCACACCTTAGTCCTCAAGCTGACATCTTTGCTCTTCAACACTTTAACAGGGTTCTTGCCTAATGCAGTACATCATTTGATTTCTTGACTGTTGCTTCTGTGAGTGTTGATGGTTGATCCAAGGAAAATGAAGTCCTTGACAACTTCAATCTTTTCTCCATTAATAAGAATGTTGTTTACTGGTCTAGTGGTGAGGATTTTTGTGTTCTTTTCATTGAGATGTAATCCATACTGAAGGCTGTGGTCTTTGATCTTCATCAGTAAGTATTTTAAGTCCTCTTCACTTTCAGCAAGCAAGGTTATATCATCTGCATATCATAGGTTGTTAGTGAGTCGCATTAGGGGTGAGTTAATTCAATGTTTAATCAAATACAGCAGGCTAATTTTTAAGTTGATAATTTAGTATGGCCTCTGAATGATGTTATAAATTTTGGCAGGAAAAAGTTCCGTACCCCTGCTTTAGATTATTCAAGGATCTTCTCGCCTGGATTCTTGAGGGTTCAGAAGTGACGATTCCAAGGTCTTCTCCTTTTCCTGTTTTGTACAGGAACAGGGTGGGAGGTTATGGTCTCCCCTGAGGCCTTCCAAGCCAGGAGCTGAGGTCTACAGTGGGACCCAAAGGAGCACACACAGGGCCCTGTGCTGACTGGTGACCTTAAGCCTTCAGGGCAGGGCATGGAGGCTCAGCACCTATGTGCTACTTCTCTTTGCTTTACTCCTGAGCAAACACTGTTAGAATATGTATCTATCACTTTCAGAAGAAGTTGTTAAGGAGCCAGCTATGCCTAGAGGGACAGCAACTTTCAGGATTAGCAAAAATAAAAATAAGTCTTCATTGTCTGCCCTTCTCATAGCTGTTCAGTTGTTTTCAGATGGTTTAAAGGGACAGGCAAACTTTTTATTTAAAGGGCCAGATGACAAATATTTTAGTCTTGTGGGCCATCTAGACACCATTGCTGTTGTCTGAGGAATGTAGCCATACCCAATATGGAAACAAATAGACAGAACTAGATTGTAGTAGGACTACATTTACAGGCACATGAGACAGGTGTAGTTTGCTGAGCCCTGTGTTAAATAAAGCATTTGAGATTCAGAGAGAGACATTGATCGTTCTGTTTTCCTCCCTAATGGGAGGGAAGTTATCAAGAGGAACGCATCTGAGATGGCGTTCAGGCTGGAGTTTCTTATCCAGAATTTAGGGCCTTGGTAGTTAAACCAATGCATTTAGCCTATTTGATCAGATAGAAGACAGAATTCAAACCAGTTCTCTAAAGAGGAATAAGACCCTGGGATACCTAACACGAGTTTCCATTGTTTATATCCAGCATCTGATAGCTATACCAATCTCATGTCACTGCTAACTCCTAGAACAGCATAGAATGGCCCCCTAGGATTCTAGAGCTGCAGTCTTTACAGACTCATACATCTTTCTCCCATGGAGTGGCTGAAGGTTTAGAACCACTGACATTTTGTTTAACAGTCAAATGCTCAACAATGGTGTCAGCAGTGTTCTTATCAAATATCTATGAATTATAGAAATGTATTTGTCGGTACAGACATAAATGGATATTTAATTTCTTTCTTTACATATATATGAATGAGTTTCTAAAAAGTCCAGGGAAAATTCCATTATCTTTTAATTCATTTTTTCCATGAACTTTTTGAAGTCCCTCCACCCCCATGTTATTTATTAAGTGTATTTCTGTGTCTCTCTCTGTGTGTTTCCATGATATTCTAGAAAGGGAATGATAATCGTTGACTTTTATTAAGAGCTTGCTTTGTGCCAGGCACCATGTGAACTCTTTTCCATATTATTTCATCCTTCCAACAATTTATGGGGTGTCCATGAAAAACACTTTTCTGACCCCCATTTCTCCTGGTGTGACACTGTAGGATCAGCACTGGACTGCGAACCCCAAGCTCAGTGGTTCAAACCTATTAGCTGCTCTTCAGAAACCCTGTACAGGGTCCCTATGAGTCAGAACTGACTCAACAGCACTTAACAACAACAACAATTTCACGGATGCCACCACTTGTTGGTCAGTTTGTCATACTGTGGTGGATTGTGTGTTGCTGTGAGGCTGGCAGCTATACCTCTGGTACTTTATAAATACCAGCAGGGTCACCCATGGTGGAGAGGTTTTAGTGGAGCTTCTAGATTAAGACAGACTAGGAAGAAGGAGAAACAGTCCTCTTGTGAGAGGTTAGCCCATGAAATGCAGCAGAATATTGTCTGATACTGCACCAGAAGATGAGTCTTTATGTTGTTTGCCGTTGTTGGTGTGTTAAGGGCCGTCAAGTCGTTTCCAACCTGTAGCAGCCCTTGGACTGGTCTTCCATGTAGCTAGCTCTCTGTGCATAGATATGTTGGACTGATCTGCCAAGTGCCGAGGAGCGTCTGGTGAGCTTGAACCACTGACCCTGTGGTTCAAATGACTTTGTGGTCTAGGCACTCAAAATATGACTACGGGAGAACTGCTTCCCTTCCTCAAAGTAGAGTTTACCATAATGATGTAGATGGAACAAAAATTTGGGGACCTTCATTTGCTGATGGGGCAGAACTCGAAAAGACATAGCTGCAGACATCCATTAAAAATAGGAATATAGACTGTACGAAGTATGAATCTATGAAAATTGGAAGTCAAAATTGAAATGGACACTAAAGATCAATATCCTAGCATTAGTGAGCTAAGGTAATTAAATGGTTCACTGTGCTGGTGGTGGCGATATGCCGTAGCATCGGTTCTAACTCATAGAGACCCTGTATAGGGTTTCTCATGCTGTAAATCTTTATGGGAGCAGAAAGCCTCATCTTCCTCCCACGAAGCAGCTGGTAGATTCAAACTTCTGACCTTGTGGTTAACAGTGCAGCTTGTAATCCACTATGCTACCAGAGCTCCTTTACTACGCTATAGATGACAAATTGTAGAGAAATGGCATCACATTCATAGTCAAAAAGAACATTTCAAGATCTATCTTGATGTACTGCTATCTGTGATAAGCTACTATCCACATGCTACATGGAAGATCAGTGGAGACCAGTACTGTTCAGATTTACACAGCAACCACTAAAGCCAGTGAGGATGAATTTAATGAAGTTGATCAACTTCTTCAGGGTGAAATTGATCAAACATGTAATGAAGATGCATTCA